GAGTCACAGATCTGTCAACTGTCGATGACCGATACGGTAGTCAACATGTAGAGGAAAGCTTAATGTATCTTGATATTTTAGATTCTGAACATAAGGATGAAACCCTGGTTCTTCCATATACAGGGTGGACCTCGAAGCATGATCAGCTTAGATTGTTCTGCTGTTAGCAGTTCGATCGGAAATTTTGTTAGCTAAAATAACAGGGTTCAAGAAGAGCTTTAAGACGATTGCACCAAATTTTTTGTCAATCCTTTTTTTCGAGAGTTATCAAGGCCACCTTCAGCTTTTTACAGGTAAACCCAGAACTTTTTATATTCATCTTTTGGGGATACTGAGACGAATTCGATAAGAATAATAACAAATACTTTTTTTCTAAATCACACTTGTACACTTGTATTGTACAATTTGTACACTTGTACAAATGACAATGTACAATGTTCTACACATAAAATAACTTGTACAATGTTGTACACTTTCTAGACCTGTTGATATATTAGTATTAGTCATTATTAACTTGATCCCTCGCATACTGTTTGTAAACATTTCGTTCTGTATCTGGCGACACATTTAATGGTATCGAACGTAAACTCTTAGTAGTGTTTCATGATCTGTACAATGATCTGTACAATCATCTTAAAGCTCTCCTTGAACCATGTTATTTTATCTAACAAAATTTCCGATCAAACTGCTAGCAGCAGCATAATCTAAGCTGATCACGCTTTGTGGTCCACTCTGTATAATATTCCTAGTAGAGGCTATATAGTACACGCTCGCAAAGTGTTAAGTTTAATAATTTTAATACAAATTTCATAGCAGCTAATAGCTCAGTTTAAAACATGGCCAATCAACTATAAGGATTAAAATGTATCTACTGTCAATGGAATATGTGAAAAAAGAACTATTAAAGAAAAATCATTCCCATATACGTATACAATTTATCGGAGTAGGAACGCTTGAAGTGTCCTGGTACCCTAATACGTTCGCTATTAACGTCATATATTTATCACGCCCACAATCCTACATTTTACATAAGGAAACTGAAACTTAAATATAACAGCATTATATTTAAGAATTCAATGACGCGTTTTAGTTGCATTTTTCCAATGTATTGTTTAGAAGATTTATTAAATCTAATAGAATATTACAAACGACAACATCATCATTTAAACAAACTCTGGTAGCGAACACGTTAATCACTGAACACCGTACAAAGTACAGATTATTAATGCAAGGATCAGAATACTATCAAAATTCCTTTCACCAAATTTCTTTTAACCAATCTTGTCATCAACACTACATCTACCAGACGGGTCAATATGGCACATTCCTGATTTCCTCTTTCCGCAATTATAGCAGAGTTTTCTCTGAAAAATGATTAAAGAAATTGACTTAGCAATATTTAAACTGAATTGTAAATCAATTAAAATCTCTATAAATGCATTCTTGGAATTTCTAAAAAGGAATTTTAAAAAGTCGATTCAACTTCAATAGTTTTAGTGTTAACATTTCCCCTTAACGGTACAAATTGTTAGAGATTCGAAACCACGGACAGCAGAAATTTCCAGAAGATTCTTTAAGTTCTACAATGCAACACGAGGAGTCACAACCTATCTAAAGTCTTTTAAATGTTTATGCATCCTTGTACTGACAGCGACTATTTCATTATTTACACTATCGACTTATGTTGATTACTTCCAGAAGAATAGGCTATGTCTTCTCGTAAAATCATCTAACATGCACCGAGAAGTTACGAATGACCATCTAAAATCTTTTTTACCTGTAGGCCCCTTTTCGCCAGAAGCATGGTCACTCGCGCGCCCAAATAACAGGCTTACGCGCCAAAATAATGTATTTACGCGCGAATCCCATTTGATCAATCACAAATCCGTTTAGTTAAATGGCCAATGGGAAAATTATTCGGCTACAAGGTTTCCGGAAGTCACCTTTAGTTTCCTCAATGACGAGAGCTTTCCAGGAATTGGCAGTAAGTCAGTAACGAGACTTCATTAACTCAGAGGCATTTCTAATTTACGTCTGCACAATTTTATGTACACAATTTTAGCAACTAGGGTTACCACATAATTCAAACTCCACGAATCAGCTATCGATACAGGCCACAGTAATTTTAATAATTAGATTTACAATCTCAATAGATAGAGTTTATACAGAGAAATTTCAAAAAGTCAATTTAACTTTGGTAGTTTTAGGGTTAACATTCCCCTCTCACCAATACAAAGAAACAACAAAAATCAGAACACACGGGTCCCAGTAGACCCAGACGCAGCTCTCTTGGAAATCGAAGAACACTCGGAACCGTCGGACAATGCCGTGCACATTCGGCGCCCGTCGCGTCTAGATGGTCTTCAGGAATACCCCCGATGAAGGGTAACGAATCCGCAGCGCGGGCGGAGATCCGCGACGGGACGCGGATGCCGTTTTTCAACCGGGGGCAGACGCTGAAGCACACGGGCGACGCGTATTATGCTTGGAGGCTCCGGCTCCGTTAAAAATACGAAGCACAGGAAGCGCGGCGCGGGAGTATCGAGCGGTCCGAAAGAAACAAAGAAAATGCGGAACACGCCGGTGCATGCCGTCGGTCGCCGGTAATATCCACCCGTCTAGACACTAGACTCTCTTTGTTCCTTCAGGGGGGCGGCTGATTTTCGGGGGTTGTTCCTGGTCGAGCGTTAGGGTAAACCGAGCACAGCCTGGTACCCGTGGGGCGGAGGAATGCACGAGTGTCTAAGCACGGGGAAAGAGACACCGGGACGCGATTACACGAGGATCACCCCCGGTGATAGGTGTGCGTTCGTCTGTGCACGTAGATATTTGCGCGCGCACGCGCGCGTGTGTGTGAACATGCGTTTCGGTCTGGTCGACGAGTGATCGGCAAGTTCGTGATCAACGACGACGAAATGGTGGGCCGTGTCGGTGCACGCGCGACCGCCCGCCGTTTCACTCTTCTTTCCTCGGGTAGATGGCTAACAACGACGATGCTCGACCGAACCAATTGACTGTACTTTCTACATCCTTCGTTCGCTGCTCCCGTCGAAACCGTGCCGATTATTATTTTCAGATACGTAGAATGGCCGAAGGTAGAAACCGCGTAATCACTCGGATTCTTGGATTGAGCCAAGGAATATGTACACCTGACCCTCGATTTACGCGGAAATCCGTTCCACGTGGATGCGTTTTATGCGAGTGAACATCACGTAAATAGAGTCTGTCAGTTGAAGGGAAAAAGAAATATTCGGACGGAATGCTGGTGTAAGTTTTAAAAATGCATATTTATCTTATATAGTCAAACAAAAGAAATAATAATGACATTTCAAAAATGAAAAGTATATTTTATTCGGTCACGCATGAAAACTACCGTGTAAATCGTGTTCTAATTCACCGCGTAAGAAAGTGCTGGATAAATTGAGGGTCAGGTGCACAATCGAATTTTACAGATGCAATGGAACCTTGAGTATCTAATGGATAAAGGTTTAACCCTTTCGTCTCAAATGGTACACATTAGCAAGACGAACATTTTAAATTATGGGAAAGCTAGAAAACACCTTAGAGATAAAGGAAAATTGTACCACACAGGGATCTTTGCTTATGACTGACAGCTTAATCCGTTAATGAATTACTATTTATTTTGCTTATTTTTTCTTTTATTATTTATTATGCCTCGAACTGGAGATATTTTCCCTAATCTGTTGAATGAGTTCAATCAAATCTAACGAAAAAGGTTAAAAGTACAATTCTTTGAGGCGGTTGACTAAATGTTAAGTGCTCTCTCAGACTACTGGCGAATTATAAATTAATACTAAAACAGAAAGTTGTAAGTTACGTACGAACAAAAATTCAGATAAATAAAAGTGTTGACTGGTCTGACAGACCGATTGCAGCATTTAAGGCTTAATCGAGGTTTTACGGTATTACGTTCCGTTAATTACCATTTATATACACTGTAGACTGTTTTGGCTGACTTGTGATTGAGTATGTTTGATCAACTACTTTGTACAAGAATGTATCAATAAGCCCAATCCTGAGACACTGTCTTCATTCAACCAAAAAGTAAATCTTTGGTTCTGATAGTTATTTGTGTTATGGAAATATTTAAAGTAATTTGATATTGTTAGTTTGTATAAAGAAGGACAAAAAAAGGGTTAAGAATTTTAAAGTAGCAGTGATCCTAGTAAACGTGTGTCAAAGAATTAGTATTTTCAAAGTTGTAAGTAATATTTTTATTTCGATTAAAACGAATAAGTTAAAAATGATGGGTTATCTTATTACTTTTTCTGTGTGTGATTAATTTCTTATTGTGATATGAACTGCAATTTTCATTTTAAAAATTCTTCAAATCATTTGTATTCATTAGAAACAACTGAAAGACAAGGAAAGATTTCCTACGCAATCTAAACGTACCTAGTAGAAAAAAAAATAATATAAATTTAATCAGTTAGAGATTTAAGGACTTAACAAATTTGTTCTACTGCAGTTTTAAAAACCTGTTTGATGTCTTTTATTTTTAATATGATCAGTTTAATTGTATTATAAAAATTCATATAATACAAATAGTTAATACGCGTTACAGTTACACGTATAATAATATATTTAATATGATTATTATACAAGTAAAGTAATACAGCTAACGTGATTTTGAAATCTTTGACTTTGAAATCAGCATGTTGCAAGTTAACGGCTACCAATACGAGAACTCGTAGTTAACCAAAAAACGAGCATGCATTGTAACAGTTTAACAGCTAGAACGTAGTTTCTGCATTTAATCAATTTCCATATTTTATA